TATGAATCAGCCTAACTTAACCTTAGCATTCACAATAGACAAACTCGTTAAAAATCTGTTAAATAAATCTTGTTGGCATTGAAGGTAGTGGTTATATCATTATAATGAGATATCCGCGCACTTTCTTGTATCGAATTCAGCGCACTAACTTTTTTGTTGCTGTTACTTGTAAAATATTAAAGAAGAGAACAGCGAGCAGAGAAATAACGAATCGAAGGCGGCATTTATCAGTATTATATCGTTTTAATTACGCTTCGGAAATTACGCACCTGAGTATTCCAATATTTTTATGAAATAATATTGAGTTATGTATTATCTGCATAAAGGTTTATTAAACCGTTTACTGAGTACGACGGACTAGACTGGACTAGCTAGTATCCAAACTCACATTATATAATATAATATATAGCTTAGCTCTGTAGTTTATTATAGGGTGGGTCATAAAATTGATTTTTTTTTCACTTTATACTTAGAAATATCGGTTATTAGACACCTGAAAAATATCTATCTAAATATGAGATCATAAGATTAATAGAAAGCCCTTCCGTTTCCACTTTTCTAATTTTTTCTTACTATTAGAAAGAAAAATTCATACTCCAGTTTTTACTATCTGACAAAAATATGTCGTCTCTTTTATTTGTAGGAAATTTAATTCTCTACAAAAATGTTTAACCAATATTTTCGTAAACATCATCCTTGAAAAGCTATTAAAAATGAAATTTAATTATTTTAAGACATACAATATATCTGCTTTTTTTTACCCTAGACGGGGTATATTAACTTTGCCACGAAGTTTGTAACACCCAGAAGGAAACGTCGAAGGCTCCATAAAGTATATACATATGTATGTATATAAACGATCAGCGTGACGAGCTTAGTCGATTTAGCCATGTCCGTCTGTCTGTTCGTCTATACATATGCGAACTGGTCCCTCAGTTTTTGAGATATCAATATGAAATTTTGCACACGTCCTTTTTCCGAGAAACCGCTCATATGTCGGCCAATATCGCACCACTATAGCATATAGCTGCCATACAAACTGATCAATCGGAATCAAGTACTTGTAAGTAGAGTTGTATTTGTGAAGGGAGGAATAAAGAAGAAAATTATAGCTTCGGTACAACCGAAGTTAGCGTTTTTTCTTCTTTTTCATGAAACTTGCTGTGTCCGAATACTTTAATTAACGCTCCAATTATTTCTGAAGAAGACATTCTACTTAATTTAAATAAGTTAAAACCATTTTTTAGTTACGGCCCAGACATGATACACTCATGCTACCTAAAAAATAGTGCCAAATATATTTATTTGCCTTTGACAAGGATATTTAATTCCTCTCTTAAACACGGTATATTTCCTTCAATATGGAAACAATCATTTATAATTCCTTTGCATAAAAGTGGATTTAGGTCCAACATTAAAAACTATCCGTTATACCTAAACTTTTTGAAGCTATCATTACTGACCATATAACCTTTTCGATTTCTCCATTAATTTCCTCATCTCAGCATGGATTTCGTAAAGAGAAATCGACTCAAACAAACTTGCTGGAATTCGTAAACCATGTATAATCGGGATTTAGAGAACATAAGCATACGGATGTTATATACACAGACTTCAGCAAAACTTTCGATAAAGTAAATATCTCGATTCTCATACCTAAACTTGATCTGCTGGGCTTTCAGCCAAGATTTCTTCAATGGGTTGCTTCCTATCTTCATAATAGAACACAAAGAGCAATATTTTGCAAAGTAGTCATCTTGGCCCGATTTTGTTCTTGTTGTTTATTAACAATATCTCTTTAGTAATAGAATTCTCAAACATTTTATTATACGCTGACGACGTAACGCTTTTTAAATCATACACTTCAACTGAGGAAAGGTGTCTGTTGCAAAGAGACTTAAACTATATGGTTGCATGGTGTGATAGAAATGATTTGCCATTGAATCTGAATAAATGTAAGACGATGTGCTTTTCCCGTAGACCTGTGCACCCCTCTTCTTATGTAATAAAACACCATAGTCTAGTTTTTAACTATGTTGATTTGGGGGTTAATATGGACCCTAAGCTTAATTTTAGTCTTCATATTGATTCTATGGTCTTGAAAGCAAAAGGTGTCCTCAGTTTTGTTAAACATTGGTCTAAAGAATTTAAAAATCCGTATGTTACTAAAACACTTTATACAATTTTGGTTAGACCTATATTGGAATATGGCTATGTTGTATGGAACCCTAGCTACCAAATCCATTCTGACAAGTTAGTGTCTGTTCAAACACAATTTTTACTTTTCGCCTTAATGCATTTCCGATGGGATTCTAGGGTAAGTCTACCTCCAGACACTAGTCGTTTCAAACTTATTAATCTACCTACACTTTCTAGTCGTAGGGAAATGCTTGGCATAATATTCTTAGTGAATATCTTGAATGGAACAGTTTGCAGTTCCTTTCTTCTGTCTGAAATTAAATTTAATATCCCGGTTCGCTTTTCGAGGCAGTTTAGACCTTTACGGTTAAAATCCTGTAGATCAAATTTCGAACTAAACGAACGATTCCAGCACATCTGACTCACTTTTCAAAAGCAAAAAGACCTAATTGTTTTCTCTTAATGAATGAAAATGCAACAATTTATTATATTGTAACTATAAATCTTAGCTGTTGAAATTTTTGTTTCTGTAGCTGAGCAGTTATAGATCTCAACACCTTAAAAAACTCTCTTGCCTTTTCTGACTCGGCTAATTCCGCGCGTTTGCGGATTGCGCCCCTCGCGTCGGTTGAGCGGAAGGAGGATAACAGCTGACGCCATAGTCTGACCAATTAGCTAAACCAACAATCGTTAAACGCATAGTGATGATTTGTGCCGAATAGGGTGAGTAGTTTAAAGTTATGCTTTAATTAGATGCCAAATAATATTTACATATTTAGAATTAATGTGCAAATCGTTATTACTAATGTATTATTTGGCAAACATTTTAACAAGAGTTTTGATTATTTGGACTCGGTACCATTACCAACTCAGCCCATCCATAATACCGTATACTAGTATTGTATTTTAGATATTTTTTGTCAGATTAATACATCGTAGCCATCTTTGAAGACACAACGAGAGTATAGTGTATCTCTACAAAACCTTTCTATATGTCTATATATTCTATATATATGTGTAAGTGTGTTTACCCAGTTGTAAACTCAACTGACTATGAACCACTCACAAATCATATGAACCGCAAGCATAAGCCGTTTTTCTGCATACACAAAATTATTTGCTTCAAACCAACCTTTTTTTCAGATTTTAAAAATAGGAAATAAATGAAAATAGAGTTATTTTTTTTGTTCATTTTTAATTATAATTTTTTTACATCTCGAAGTGACAGAAAATTTATGATTTTGGCAGAATCCATCGTAGTAAATTACAGAACACCACATGATTTCAATGGTTTCTTGAACATTATTGTGGTACAGAACCTTGTTTGCTTTGGAACAAAAATTAAGTTTCAGTAGCATACTACAATATGTACCATAGGTCTGTCTTTGGCATTAAGTGAAAATAGTGTTTTTATTTTGTATGTAATTTAAAATATAGCGATTTCATTCGGAAAATTCTCACTGCCAACTACTATTTTTCTAACCAGTTTGCTTTTAGTCAAAAATCTTTGTACGGACTAGTAGTTCTGCTCACTAGCATAATGCTTTACTGGGTACTTGTGCAATATGCTCGCTAAATCCACCGATAAGAGTCTATCCCTTATCGCCGTGAGTGGCGGGATTATGCTTAAAATGAAATTATTGCAAATTTTCATGTGTCATACTTTAAACTTTACGGTTTTAATGGTATTTTTAACTACGATTAAGTCTTTTCCCGCAATTCATGCTATCGCTGAATAAAAACGACAGTTCCCTAATTGTTCTTAATTGTGACCCATACGTTTCACTTTGCCTTTGGGTGTTTTCTTTGATTATAATTTTTTCAAAACTATCCTAACTCTATTTACTACATCTTTATGTTACACACGAGTAAATTTAAAATTAAAAGCTGTCTTCGATTCGCCAAGCGTCACGCTCCAGCGAATCAAACAAACTATATTAGATGCTCAAAACAATGACTTTGTTGTTGCTTTTACATATAATTTCGTTTAGAAAAAAGAGCAGAAGTGAAGAGATTAATGGCGAATCAAACAAAGCAGCTATTATATAACTTCCTGAATATTATATGTTGCGTAACCAAGCCGCTTGTCTATATGAACCACTGACAATATCTAAGCTACTTTTTTGTCAGCTCGTACTAACTGTTTATCACATTAGTTACTTCTAATCAAAATTTTTTCGTGACTGTGCCATTCCCGAAAGGAAAAAATAATGTTTCAAATAATTTCGTTGGGGGTTTTAATTTTAATATGTAACATCGGAACATTTAAGTTTTATGCTTTATAGTTTTTTTTCCAATTTCTAATACATACTTGTAGTATCCACATTTTATTTGTAAACTTGACAACCGCATTTAAATAAATAAATAATAAAGATTTGCTTATTACTATTCTCAATACAACTTTCTGACTAGTGTTCTATTACAGTACACTCATCATGGTGACGAGCTGAATCGATTTATTCATGTCGGCCTGTCTGTATGTACGTTAAGTGGTCCCACAGTTTTTCAGGTTTCGATACAAAGTTATGTGCTTGTTTTTCCACAAGAAGCTGATAATTTTTCGGAACTGCCGATATAGGACTACTATATCATTAAGTTGCCATACAAACCAACCGCCCAAAATCAGGTCTTTGTAAGGAAAATCTCTCCTATTTGACAATAGCTTCACGAAATTCAGCAAAGGCTATTTCCTAAGGCAACCATTTGTTTGCACTTTTGGTGTTGATATTTTCGATATAGCTCAATTAATTTTAAAGAAAAGAAAATGAAGCTTGTCTTATTTTTTTGTCAAAACCAGCCCATATATTTTCAAATTTTACTAATATATTTTTTATTTTAATAATCAAAACAATATCAGGATACAAGGCAATCTTAATATATCTTAGTATCGAAAAACAAAGATGTTTACTTACATATTATTATTCCCTACAATTAAATATATTTGCGGTTTGTTTATATACTTCCACTAGTTTTTTTAAAGCACAACTCTCAGTCACTTTCTCGCAGTTTAATTCTGCTTTCGTGATGGCATTACGTGCATATAACGGCAAACGCTTTTCACATATAAAATTCCTTTTTGCTGAACAATTATCATCGTTCATTCTAAAGCTATGACTGTTTATTATGACTTCTATACAATCCTCCGCATCATTCGCATTGTCCGGTTGATTCTTCTCCCAAAAAGCATAAAGCATTCGTCGTCCACTATTCAACGACATATATGTTCCCTCCGCTGACAAATCGTTGCCACTTGTCCAAGCATACATAACATCAACCACTGTCTTTAAGTACGAAAATAAGGCATTCTTTTCAGCCAATGATTCAATCGTTAACAAATCACTGTCGTAAGAACGACAAAAATGAGCCGCTTCGAACCAATCCATCTATAATAGGAAGACAATATGTTTTATGAAAATAAAAATATAATGGCTCGTTGGTATATATGTATGAGTACCTCTATGTGCTGAGCCACTAAATAATATTTGCTACCAACTTTAATGAAGGGGCGTAAGTCCACATCGTCAACTGTAAATGTTAAGTTAATTAATAGTTAAATTAAGTAATTAATACAATTTTTATTACCTTCTTGTACCGCTGTACTACAAGTAGTAAATAATAAAGTATTAATGAAAAGTAAAAGATATGAAATATATCGCACCTCTCCCATAATTTAAGCGCAAGCGTTTGCGCGTCCAGTTGCTGCTGGATTTAAACTACGAATGAAATTAACGAAAATTTTATAATTCATATTTATAATAATAATAATTCAGCACCTAGATCATCAACGCAACCAACGAGGAGTCTATTTTATCACAGACAACAACAAATAGTATGAATTCAGTATTCAAGGCCACGGATACTGGACACTAAGTTCAATTCAACTGATAACATACATACATACATACCTACGTATTGCATAATTCGACACCAAGCTGATAACGCAACATACATACATACTTACATACAAATATAACATAATTCGACACCAAACTGAAAGCGCAACATACATACATACTTCTGTATAATAGAAGCGGTTAATTGGTCTGGAAGGCCGATATCGGACCACTATAGCCGATAGCTTTCATTTAAACTGAACGATCGGAATCGAGTGCTTATATGAAACACTTTTTAATTTGATAAGAAAAGACACAGAAACCCTGTTGTTAGTAAAACACGCTCTCTCAATTTCATTGAGATATCTCACATATTGGCCGATATATGTGTTATATACTCACCCGGAAGTTCGAAACTTTTTATATTAGGTATATGAAGGCTGAGGGTAGTGTTGAGCCGATTCGACCCATTTATGACATACATACATACCATTATCAGAAAATTATCCTCTCTAAATTTCAATTATATATTTCACACATTGACCGATATTTTCGGTAAAAAGTCAACTATAGGTACAAAGGTCACACATATTCGGTACATAGGGGCCTGAATAGTTTTGGTTTGATTTGGAAAGTTTTTGGGTGAGGTGAGGGTGAGGTACTTAAACGGCATTATTCGTGTAAAGTTTTATTCCGTTAAATTAATTCGTGGCTTGTTTGTGTACTGGAATGGGAAAGAATTAGATGAAATTTAAAATTAGGTTATATGGGAAGTATTATATTTTAGGGAAGGTTGTAGTCCGATTTCCCCATTTTCCCAATGTAAAATAGGATTATCAGAGGAATGTAACATATGGAATAGTATGTATACCAAGTTTCGTGATGATATCTTAATTTTTACTCAAATTATCGCTTGCACGGACGGCAGGACGGACAGACGAACAGACAGACAGACAGATCCCCGGATTTTAACTCTCATTATCCCTGATCATTTATATATGTATATGTAAACCTATATCTATCTCGATTAGTTTTAGGTGATACAAAGAACCGTTAGGTTATACTTTGTAGCAAAATGTTGGAAGAGTATAAAAAGCCTATAATTGATCAATATATTGTACATATTTGAAATGCAAAAATCGTAAAAACAAAAGCCACATTCAATATTTTCATGAATAAATTCGTAATCTGGACACTTGAAACCATTAAAATTTGTTAAGATATCTAAGACAACAAAAAAATATATTTTTTTTGTAGCGCTGCTGATTTGAAAAGAAAAAAGATTAATTCAAGTTTTCAAGTCATTGATATTTATACAAGTTACACTTTGTGAGCGTGGTGACCGATAAAAAAACAATATATTGTATATATATATATATATTATATATATAAATAATATTGCTTAAAATATTTTCATTATCTTACAATACATGTAGGTTACACAGGAATTTTTATCATTGAAACTATAGGTTTATGGTAACTGATACGAGTATCATAAGTTTGAGACCTGATATTCTCGAAATATCTGGAAACTACCGCGGCAATGGTGGTCCAATATTTGTTGTGGACTCTTGTGAATCATTATTAATTTTCAAATTAAATTTTTCTGAAAAAAATTTGTCAACCGTTCTGATATTTTATCATCGCTAGCCAGTGAAATTTCCAGCCAAGATAAGTGGAAATTTATTACCATTGATAATCCGATTAAAATACCTAATTTCAATTGTATTGTTTAATTCAAAAGTGATAATGTGCCAAAAGCTGGGGTAGCTATTTATTAAAATATTAATAATGTTATTATGACTCCGAATATTGAATCATTTATTCTTTATTAATTAAATTTTTAATAAATTTTAAATTTTTATTTGCCGTTAAAAAAATTTTAAAAGTTATTATTTTTGAATCAGCTTGATCTTCAAGGTATTTGTTCCACTTGATATATACGAAAACACGAACCAGTTCGAAACGCATTCAAAAACAGCGGTTTTCATAGTTGCGTATTTCGACAAATCATACGGCAGTAATTCAGATAAGGTATGAGGCTGTATGCCAGCGAATGGAGTTGGAAACTGGTCTTTGTGGTAAGAAATATAGACCCCTGTTTTCATTTGAACTAGTCGCTCAATTTTTGAGATACCGCTCTGAAATTTTGTCTACGAATTTTTCCCACCAAGAAGTTACTCGTTTGTTGGAACCGCTTCTATCGAACAATTATAAACTTTGTATGGAAAACTTTTTTATTTCGAAAGGTATCTCCACGAATTTTGGCATAGATTATTATATTAAGGCATCGTTAGAATCTCCGAATAAATTGTTTAGATCGGACAACTATAGCATATAGCGGCCATAAAACGAGACCGATCGAACTCACAACCAAGTTTGTTACCCTTTTATGCTATAATACGATGCACCGGTGAATGGTTTTATGGCTTCGTTGCAGCCGTTTTTTATACCCTGAACAGGGTATATTAATTTTGCCACGAAGTTTGTAACATCCAGAAGGAAACGTCGGAGACCATATAAAGTATATATATAAATGATTCAGATATCGATCTGAAATTTTGCACCTGTCCTTTTCTAACAAAGAAGCTGCTCATTTATCGGAACGGCCGATATCGGGCCACTATAGCATATAGCTGCATACAAACTGAACAATCGGAATCAAGTGTTTGTATGGAAAACTCTTTCATTTTACGAGGTATATTCATGAAATTTGGCGTGCATTATTATTTAAGGCAATTATCCAATCCTCGAAGAAATTGTATAGAGCGGATGACTATAGCATATAGCTGCCATACTAACTGAACGATGTAAAGTGCTTGCATGGAATTTTTTTTTATTTGACGAGGTATCTTCACGAAATTAGGCACGAGCTATTGCTTAAGGCAAAAAATTATTCTCCACAGAAATTGGTCAGATCAGATCACTATATCATATAGCTTTCATACAAATTGAACGTGCGGAATCAAGTTCTTGTAAGGGTCCTTTGTATTTGTGAAGAGTATTATTGCTTCGCAACCGAAGTTAACGTTTTTTCTTGTTTTTTGTTTTTTTTACAACTTGCGACAATATGTAGCATTCGGCTTCACCCAAACAGTACCATAGTGCTCCTCACTTATTTATCATACAACATTGCAGGCTCCATATTTAAAAAGCTGATAATAATGTTCGAGTATTTTCTTTACTTTCTTCTTTGCTTAGTATCCTCTTTATGTATGGATAGTGTATAAAGAGATTAATTTGTATATTTGTTAACATTTTATTGTTCAATTAAGACAAGGAATTTGAAATCAATTAAGGAATTAACAACAGCTATTAGAACAGCAGCAACGCGGCCGAAAAAAGAAACCACATAATGGCGTATATCTTGCCAAACACATTGCCTTATTAGTTAAAGCACTTATCTAAAACAAAAACATATAAACTATATTTATTTTTGTTTCATTCTATTGAATAAAACCTAAGCAATATATTACGATTGATGAACGCAATCCTAATCGGATACCGCCGTATACTGATCCACCAATTTCGAACGCATCCGCATAGTTTCCTGCATTGTGTACCAAAGCACTTTTATTAATAAAAAATATTTATAATGGGAAGCTTAGTTACCTAAAAATTGTTGTGTCACGAGTAACAAACACAAAATAGAAATTAATTTAGCTACACCCATTATGGAGGAACTCAGGATACGTGAAAAGTGTACAACGTTGTGTGGTGAATCTGTTGTGAATTCGACTACTCACGATCTTCTGCTTTATATCCGTTATATATGCACATATACTTACCTAAGCTGGGTACTATTTATTTCTTAAATCTTTTGTCTTTCATAGAGAATTTTAATTAGAAACGTGACTTAGCATTTTTATAATAAGATAAAATAAACTTAATTTTATATTTTCTACATGCGGAAAATATAAACAATACTTTAAATTACCATACTATGCCCATATTTTTACATCGTGATTTAGGCTTTTGTGTACAATGGTAAACCGATAAGTTAGCTGCCGATAAGTTAGCTGAGTTGTGGATCGATCAACCATAGTTCACGTAACAAAAAGCAAAAACGTACCCGAAACAGTCAGGTTTACGTAACCACAGCGAACATAGATTTATACCCGGTTAATAACTGTCAACAATCAGGCAATCAAATCAGTGGGTATCTCTAACAAATCTTTTACGAACTTGAACCAAGGGATGATGTGATGTTTCGTGACTACTTGGCGCGTATTAGCTACTTATCTACTTTAACATAAGACGAGTTAACCCTTTCATTTGTTAATAATGCATGTGCATATTGAATAAATTTCATTAAACGCTTTTTCATAACAGACTGACTTTTGGATGTTTGTCAACCAAAACAGAAAGCTAAGTTACTTATGCGAATACATGAGTTTCCTCGAGCAAAAGACGGTTTATTCTCAATCATTTTTTTTCATATAAAAATATAAAAAATTAAATATTTTATACAAGCTTTTTAATATTCCAGTATATTTTACAAAGATTTTGTGAAATTTTAATAGAAAATATTCAAAACTCGGCCATTACGATATCATTTCCGGCAGTTCCTCAGAAAAAATGTGCCTTCGCGTTGACAGCAGAACTTCTTACAGGACATCAGAAGTAAAAGTGAAAGAAAAAAACGTGTTTTAATTAAGAGCATAAACTAGTAGGTATTGGAGGAGGGAAAAAATAAAAGGTCAAAATTATATGCTTTTGATAGTTTTCACAAAAAAAATTCAAATTTAGGTGAACATTTCTCTACGTTTTTTTATTTTTAAATAGTTGTAATTGAAAAAAATCCTTTGTTCAGGACCTTTTGAATTTTATCTCGAAGACCTGTGTAAAATTTTATTAAGATCGGTTGACTTTTA